CTATTAGCACGCAAGGGGTTATAGAGAGTGAGGGTACGAGTAAAGACTGGTGTTCGAGGAAAGGATAAGGGAAGGACGTGAAACTAAATAAAGACATCATAAGATGTCGATTGACATTATATCTAAATACTTGAAGATTGTAGCTATCAGGGAAGTAAGTAAGAGAAAGGGAGTTCCACTGTGCGAAAGTGCGATATAAGAAGTTGTTGGAGTAGAAGAGGCGGTTACTGTTTCGACAGTGAAAGGGCGGATTTGAGACGTCAATTTAGTAGCACGCTTAAATTTATGCAGTTGAGGCACCAATGAAAGTAAAACTTTATTGTCTTGCCAGTCCGTTTCGAGAGTTCAACTATAAGTGTTTGGGCTTCTCAAAAAGTTGCGAATTATAGAATACTTTTTCTTGAAATTTAAAAAAAAAGCTTTGTGATTCTTGGAGGAACGTTGGTTTGCCATGGTTTACCATATTTTTATTCGACAAAATGAGAGAATCATTTTTTTCAGGGTTAGAATGACAGAAAAAAAATGAATTTAAAAGTGGTTTTATAGAGAAGAAATAAGTTTAAATTTTAAAATTAAAATCATCTGACAATAATTAATCATAGGATAAAATACTTTAGGCCCATATGTGTAGTTTACTTCAACATGTACACTATAATATGACGACCACTAAACAACTGATCCAAGAAATCAGTCAATTTCTTTTTTTTTTCTTTAAATTTTTGTATGAACCGTGTTCACAATTGGTGGCTGTAAATCTCAGTCAGACCAAGTGCATATATAGTGCGCTTTTTCGTTAATCAGTACTCCATAACTACAGACATAACTACAGACTACAGATTGGGCAATATTCAATATAGTTTGAGTCTTACAATTTGCATCTAACAGCCTTGTATAGCTTTCCATCACTTATAAAAGCATACATTCTCGAAAGTCTCCATCCCGAATTACATGAAGTAAGATGTTGTTTACAACAGTCGACAGACCATATGCTAGAGAAGAAGAGAGAGCACATCAAAGAGAGAAAGAGAGAAATAAAGTAAGAGAGAGAGGTAAAAGAAATCCAATACAACAGAACCGATTTTATCTGTCTGTCTGTCTATCTGTCTGTACGTAAAGTCTCCGTATCAATTCCATGCAGTTCTTTTTGGTTCGACTGTCCGCTTTTCAGACAAACGAAGTGTTATATGATCCGTGGCATTGATTTGTGTACCCTTTGGGACTGTTTTGAACTATAAAGATTGGGAAATATTACCGTAGCGTTTTAATCTGAGACAGATTTCATCCCTCGGGCTGTCTGGATTTGTGTTTGCTGTTTTCGGTAGATTTATTTATTTATTTCATTCTAAACAGAAACAATTAAATCTAAAAGGTTAGTTGATATTCTGCTTGTTTTGTTTGACCCCCAGGAATAAAAACCATCAAAGAATGAATGAGACGTCAGGTTTTGAAATAAGAGAATTCCTAATCCGTGCAATAATCAATCAGCATCAGGTAGTTTCATGAAAATTGTACCATCCGCCCCTTTCTCAGACACCCGTTTTCATTCATACGCTCTCTCTCTCTCTCTCTCTCTCTCTCTCTCTCTCTCTCTCTCTCTATATATATATATATATATATATATATATATATATATATATATATATAAAGCTCTCTCTATCTTCCTCTCTCACACATAGACACACACACACATACACACTTACACAGTTATTTCAATGAAAAGTTAAGGACCGTCGAGCCCGGTCACTAACTGTATGGGTGCTTAGAAGTTATTCGCTGACGTGTCTATGTATTTGTGCATGTGGACTTGTATTCGTACTGTGAATATACATGGATAGACTATACACTATGGTGTGTATAGCCTCCCAGTACCAGGCTTAGACTTCAAGTTTCATGCGAAGCAAACATTTCTAATGTTTATATTTAATAAAATGCTCCCTAAAACTTTGTTAATACCCTCTACTGTTTTATAGGCAAGAGGAAATGTTTTAATAAAACTTGAAGAGAAAAGCATCAAATGGCTGCCATTTTTTTTTTCAGAAAAAAATACATTTATTAATGGATTGATTGATTTGTTTTTATTGCTAATCGACCATTTCAGTCTCGCTTAAATCCAGATCATGTTTTTGTATTACAGTAATTCACTCGAAATAATAATTATTTTACAATACAAGAACTACTTATTAACCCAGAGGAGGAGGAAAATAAATGGAGTCATACTTTTCCCACAAGTATTTACGCGTGTAAGTGAATATAACGAATCCGAATGCAATTCGAAACCTGTACTCCGATTTCTAATTCGTAATCGCTATCCAATGCACCACCCGCTCACCCAAGCTTACAGCATCTGCTATTCACAATAAGTCAGGATAACATTACAGACTCTTGCATGGATTTTCTCAAGAATCTCGAACAGGACCACGAAACCAGATGTGGCAGCAAAATATTAAATGCCCGGATGAATGTCGGGTTTCATTTTTATGGCAACTGTTCTGACGATCTCTCTTTACTTGTGCCCCATCTGCATGAATTTAAACGTGCTACTAGGTTGGCATCTTTGTCCCACCCTTTCACTGTCGAAACAGTTAAATGTAACCGCCTCCTCTACTCCAACAGCTTCTTCTCTCGCACTTTCCGACAGTGGAACTCCCTTCTTCTTACTTGCTTCTCTAATAAATATAATCTTCAAATATTCAAATTATAATGTCATTCTGAAGCTGAATCCGGACACCCGCCCTTCTCTTGATCCTTTCTTCAAAACACCCCTCTTTACTCTTGCTCTCACACTCTGTAACCCCTTGCGTGCTAGTGGCACTTCCGCCTTGCTTAGGGTCAAATGCTTAAAAAATTCTGATTTTTGCCTATTCTTGTCCCAGTCGAAATTTGCGTCTACCTGAAAGATTGTAATAAGACTTGACGTTTATGAAAATAACATTATACTTATGAAGACTAAGTATTTAGTCTCTCTCCCTACTAACATGAGTTGTGACACATGGTCATTTTTAAGGTGGGGACCCGAGCACGTACACTTTGATGGAGTCACACCTGTGAGCACTCTTCCCAATGACAAAGATGCAACAGAGATGATATATAATGTATTACAAACCACTCGAGAGAGCAATTTACACACTTGGTATTTACTCTGTCTCCCCACTAAGTTGTGACTCTAGGTCAGTTTTTTAAGGTGGAGACCCGAGTGCGTACACCCAGGCTAGGAAGACAAAATTGCCCGCATCCTCCGCAACCATACGTCGGTTGCGCTGGCACGGGCACCGATTCTTCTCGTTGGTGCAATGAGAGGGAGCGGCCTCGGGCAGCTGTTCCCCAGGGATGGGCACTATTCAGTATAATTTTCCCCAGTTGCGACTCTGTCCTTTGATGTATCGCTCCTGACGTAACTGAGAGATGATAAATAATGTGTTACAAACCACTCGAGGCAGGGGTTCGTAACACAATAATAATAAAGACTATATTAACCTATATTCATCTTTTTTAGAGTGATCATGGTCCTAAACAACCTTCCATCTTTCGTAGTTCTTCTCCGGTTATTCATTGCTATCCTTTTTTCTTTTTTCTCTTCTTGTGAGTTTCAGAATTTCTAAGCCTTCTTTTCTGGTTGTGTTGAAAATGCCTCTTTCTGATTTTATGTATAAGTTTCCTGTTTGTTTTTATTATCCATAAAACTTCCTCGTTGGTTATACGCTCCGTCTATGGTATTCTCAGTATCCTTCAATAAAATCATATATGCAAGGGGGTTACAGAGAGTGGGAGCAAGAGTAAAGAGGCGTGATAGAGGAAAAGATGAAGACAAGGATGGGAAACAGATCAAGGCATCTGGAGATGTCGATTGACATTGCATTTGAATAGTTGGAGATTATAGCTATCAGGGAAGCAAGTAAGAGGAAGGGAGCTCCACAGACGGGAAGTGCGAGACATGAAGCTATTGGAGGAGAAGAGACGACTACATTTAACCGTTTCGACAGTGTGACTAAGATGACGACCTAGTGGCACGTTTAAATTCATGCAATCTGGGAACTAGCGAAAACAGCACGTCGGAACATTTACCGTGAAAGTATTTGTAGAAAAGACAGAGGAAGGTGACAACATATCTGTGAGAGAGCGACGGTAAACGAGATACCAGATTAGGGTCAAGCAAATTGCATATACGTCTCTGGATTTTGTCGAAGACCCCTAATACGAACAGCGGGGGCTCCTGACCATATATGGCAGCAATATTCCATGCAAGGACGGACGGATGGTTGATTTATAGATTTGAAGGATGGACGCGGGCGAGAAAAAACCTTTCTGGCGTTACATAGAGAACCAACTTTTCATGCCGTAGATGAAGCTATTGATTCAATGTAATTGGTCCATCTCAGGTCAGCGAACAGTGTGTGACCAAGCAGACGCAAAGAGGTGCTCTTGTGGAGTTCAGCATCAGACATTCTAATGCGAGACAGGGATGGTTCACCGTGGTGGGTAATAGAGAGTACTTTTGTTTTTGAGGCATTAAAGTTAACCAGTACATTCCTGCACTAGTCAACAACCGATTGGAGGTCCTTTTCGAGACCAACGGCCAGGTTAGTTTTCTCGGCGACATCAGATTTTCTATTTAGGCAGGAGTAAATAGTAGTGTCATCTGCATAAATGCCTACTTAGGAACAGATGCAGATAAGGAGATGAAGATAAGGAACAGTGTAGGACCCAGGGTAGAGCCTTGGGGGACACCTGCGTTCGCGAGAAAGGAACTGGGTGAAAATCCGTTAAGGACGACCTTCTTTACACGGTTTTATATAAGAGGATTGATATTACATAGCATTTTAGCACTCTCTCATTTGCTTCTTACAAGATTTCCTTGTTTCATAATGTTTTGTTTACCTTAAGGAAGACATTTTTGTCTATTCCAATGTGTCTTCGGATTTCGGTGTCACATGTGTCCGTCATCACTAAATACTTCGACGATATTTAAATTTCTGGAATTGTTTGGATTACGAGCACATCAACGTTTTTCATACGATTACCGAAGTTAAGCAAGGTCGAGCTCGGTCAGTACTTAGATGGATGACCGCTTGGGAATACCGGGTACCGTAAAGTTGGGTGTGCGGGTGGTGTAATGGATAACGACTCGGAATATTTAATCGGAGAGCCGAGTTCCAGTTCCCGATGTTTTCTTTATATTCAATGTGAAAGGTATGTCGCCAACTCTTCTTCCCCCATTTATGGGTTAATTCATAAAATTTTTGTCACTAAAACATTATCTAAATTTAGTCACTAAAACATTATTATCTAATTTTTGTCAAAAAAAAAACGTATTTTTTACAATGTAAAAAATATTTTCTGTTTTAAATAAACTGTAAACGGTTGCTAAGCTGTAAAAACGAATCCGCCAATCTTTATTTGTTTGATTTTAACATCGTAGCTCACATCTTAGGATTTTTCTCTTGCTGACAACCATGCATTCTTTTTTTTTTTTTTTTACAAGGTGCATTGGAATAGCGAAAAATGGTCGCAAATGTTGAACAAAATTTTAACAAATGGGATAATTTCGTTAAAAACAATGACAAGGAGAGTATGCTGAACTGAAATGCAATATCAATTGTCCTATATGGTAATAAATCTTCATATATAAAAAGGTTGATAAACCGTAATAAAACTAATCAATCAAATCTCTCAGAGGTGAAGAAGAAAAATAATCCAACAAATAGTTAATTCTGAAAAAGAATGCTGAGAATATCATGGACGGAGAATGTAAACAATGAGGAAGTTTTTGAGTAAAATGGGAACAAAAACGGACGTTTTTACTCTTTATATGGTAGGTCCATTTTAAATTTCCCTGGCACGTAGTAAGAAAAAAAGGCCTTGAAGATATTGACACTCACAACACATACTGTAGCCAAGCGCAGGCAGAGGGAAACATCGAGTAACGATGATAGAACACGGACTGTGGAGGATAATAAGATCCAATATTGCTAAGAGATACAAAAAATAAAGGAGGTGTCGAGAGCCATGATCTCCGACGTCCTAAGGGACACGGCACATAAAATAAGTAATCAATAGTTTAAGTCTGTCATCTTTCTGACTTATCTCCCTAAAACTAATGTCAGCAAGTGGGTGTGTAGCTTTTATGACAATAAACAAATATCCTAGGATAATTATGTAAACCGTTTAAAAAAAAAACGACTCCGCGTAAGAGCAGAATACATCAATAATACATCAATAATATCTTTAAAAATATACATTTATCGTGTTATCATTTTTTTTTTAACGATATCGGTTCAGTAGTAAGAGTAAGTTTACGATGGTAGATTAACGGTTAGCAGCGCGTAAAATGGAATCAGCGTACCGAGTTCTAATCCCCGTCTACGCTATACTTGCACACCAAATAACAGGCTGGACCAGGCTCACCAGGCTAGGAGAATGACTACTCTAAATTAAGCATCGTGACAGGAAATAGAAAACCACTCTACTTTCTTCCCCAGGAAATATGGCAATTCAGAGATAAGGAAAAGCTATCTGTGGACAGATATGATTGCCGATGTCTTGAATGGACATGCTATTTAAAATTTAATAGTAATAATGATGTATATATCAACTGACAAAATTGCACGAAAATATCTTTACATACTAATGAGTAAATTTTTTCAATAAAATCGTCATTGGTTTCAACCACGACCTCCAATTGACTTCGGAACCTCCTCCAAATCTTCTGCACTGCCTTCCTTGTTTAAGTTTGTGAATGCTCCCATAATCTTCACCTTTAGTTCATCTTAAGTGTTAAAGAACCAATATCAATAATCAAGCGGTTTGCAGTCTGAAGGGTTAGGTGACCAAATGTAAATGGTAATGTTCCCGCAGAAATTGTCCTACAGCCATGACTGGGTTCTCCTGCTTGTACGACATGGTGCAGAGTCCTGTTGCCAGATATATTGCATCTTCCAGCACCCACCCTCTTGACACAGAGCAGTAATACTTCCTCAAAGCACTTGATGTAGACCGCCGTATTGAGTCTGAGACCCTCACCACAAATTTATGAGTTCTTATCAGAACGATCAGAGTAAGTATTCCGAGCTGTCGTACCTTTGTAATCACGATAAGACTGTTCTCAAGTTGACACACAAACATTCCAAAATTTTCGTATTAGAGATTCCCGTGCAAATTCCAAGCAAATTTCGAATGGGGGGAATTGCGTCATGGTGGTCTTCTTTTTATCTTTTTTTTTTTTCCACAGGCAGTGGTTCCCAACTAACCCTACTATAATGCGCAGCCGACAAAATCAAAAACAAATAATGCGCATGTGCAAAATATATATATATATATATATATATATATATATATATATATATATATATATATATGTAAAAGGAAAACTTATTTTAGCCGACATGTTTCGTCCTCTGATGAACTTTATCATGGAAAACGTTTATTTATTTTGCAGCGAGTATTTACAAACAAAAATAAGAATGTTAGTTTTTCAATTTTTTTTAAATTTAAGAGACGCTAATAAATATTAATGAGGTTAACCGAAAAGTCAATGTAAATTATGGATGACGACAAGTGATGAAATTTAATGTCTAATAATAGAAAGTGGGTAAATTATTTTTTTGAATTTTTATGCAATTAATGCTTAAATTATTTTAGTTTGATTTTAATTTATGAATCATATATTTTAAATAAAAAGAAGTTATGAATTTAACCGATATCTTTTCATTTTGTAACATTTTTATAATCCTCTATGTTGGCTCTGGGAACGAATTAATTCGGAAACGAATATATTAGAAAAGAATTCGGGTCGCAGATTTATATTTTCAGAATATTCTATATCGCCATTCTCAAGAACATTCTAAGTAACTTTCTCTTTTAATAAGTGTGGCATGATTTAGATAAAATTTGTTGTTGAATTTATTTCTATTTATAACTAAAACACTTTCATAAAATGTTGCTATCAGATCCTTACTATGTCCATAGATACTTTTTTTTTAATTTCTACCAGTTTCCCCAATATATTGTGAGGAGCAATTGTGACAGTTTATTTTATATATTCCCTGCTTCAGAATTATTGTTTTTATGGGTATTTTTGTTTCTTATTATATCCATAATAAATCTGGATGTGGTTGTAATTATTTTCGTATTGTTCAGATTGGATATGTGTGTGTGTGTGTGTGTTACCAGTTACTCATTCATCATTGTTTTGAGTCAGTTGAAATGCCATTGTATCGTCATTACAAACGTGACACTGCTCTTTAGTTGGAGGTCAAGCTCCGACGTCAGCTCATCTTTCAGTAAAAACCTTTTCAAATGCGGAATGGAAATTGTGTGGAATTTCATTTAACTGTCGATCTGAAAACGCAATCAGTGACCAAAGTTTTAATTTCAGTTACATTTAGTTCTGTTCGTTATACAGAAGATGTAAATCCATATCTTTCTTCAATATCGTCAATCACCATATGATTCGTCACTGGCATGCCACAGGAGTGAGTGTGTAAGAATTTTCATCGCTTGTTATTGCTCTACTTTGACAAGTGCTACAGAAAGTTGATTTCCTGAAAGTGTTGATGCAAAATTTGATGAAACATGTAACGAAATTAGAGCAGGCCTCAGAGATGCTATACGCACGCAGAAAAGTCGTTAATTACAAGTTATACTGTATGTATGGAACAATTACTACAAAAGACACCCAACGTTGCCACGTCGCCCAAGACAATGTAAGACCATAGCAGGACAAAAAAAGCATATACTCTGCCCATAGTTGAGGATAGATCAGGCGATGACATTACACAAAATCAAGTTGCAACTATCATATATATATATATATATATATATATATATATATATATATATAGGAAAATAAGTAAAAATAATACACACACACACACACACACACACATATATATATATATATATATATATATATATATATATATATATATGGCGGACTTTTCCTGTCATGTGAGGGTCAAGCAGATCAGTTCCTAGGAACCGATAGCCCAGACACCAACACATATGATTTGATTATAGTGGTGAAGGCTATGTGCAGAACCAACCACACTTTTTGTAGGGCCGAATACTACGTTTCACAAGGTCCCCAAACCACCCTCCGCAGGTTTTGAATTCACAGTTGTCCTTCTCCCAGACCAGTTGTCATCCAAGATTATAGAACCTAGTCTGTTCTGCTATTAACCCATAGCTGAGAGAAAAGAAGAGGATTATTAGCACGTAAGTGAATGTAATGAATTCGATTAGAATTCGAACTCGGCTTTCCCTTTCCTCAACCCGAGCCGCTCTCCACTACTCTTTTGCCATATATATATATATATATATATATATATATATATATATATATATATATATATGAAGAAATATAGTCTTAAGATGTACTATATCTTTGGGATAAAGTGCTCAATATCAGAGATAGAGCGTGTGTAAAAAAAAAGTGAACATAGAAGTCAACACTTAGAGGCGACAGTCTGTCTCATGCTAGATTGCGTCTAGACTGTCGACTCTAAGTGTTGACTTCTATTTTCACTTATATATATATATATATATATATATATATATATATATATATATATATATATATATATATATTATCATGTTTCGATGCGTATTAATACATCTCATCAGGCGTTTGTATATAACTGGTGAGTAGACAATTTATTGAGATTTAAACCCAGCATGCAACCTCTTTTCAGAAGAAAAGGAAGAAAAGAAAAAGTGTAAGAAAGAAAGTCAAAAGATACACCCTATTTCCCCGAGAAAAGAAAGAATAAGGAAAGAGTAAGAAAGAAAAGGGAGGAGATAGCAGCAAAGTTTGTTTTGTTTTTATTCAGATCAACCAATCAGAATGGCCTACGTTAAGTTCAAAGTAAGGGAAAAAAACGAAAGTTAAGAAACAATCATACGTAAGAGGTCATGACCCACAGATTTAGAATCGTAGACGATATCGGAACGTCATATTCGATATGGATGTAAATTTGCTACAAATTAATACATTAGACACATGGCATTTCCTATGAGAGAAGAAGGGTAATTTAACAAGATATTCGATGAACTACGTACCCTGTGCTTTAAAAGTTAAAATTTCACTTTTTTA